TTAGACTACGATGGCATCGGATGAGGTCACAGAAGCTTCCACGAGGCACTTCAAGGATGGCCTAGTTTGCAAATCGAGGACATGAAGGGAAGCTGGGCGCGCATAATAAATAGGCTGCCTGCTCCAGACACGTCCCAGCTCTGTCGCTGTATCTTAACTACTGAGCAGTTAAGTCTTTGCACATTGCTGAAGAATGAGTTCTTTCACAGCGTGTTAGGATCAAATTGTGTTGTGGTGTTTTTTTGTTTTTTTTAATGTGTGTGAATATAGTCCCGTCAAGTTGCTTTCCTTGCATCAGCCACACCTCTTGGCAAGGAATACCTCCTATAGCTTCAAAGAATAACATCGAGACACACAAAAATTAGGGTATAAAGTGACACGTCAGAAACAATACAGAACTGTTCTGGTCAGGATCTATAAAAATAGTCAAGACTCAGAGCTCCATAGTTTGATAGCAATTATGTGTGTTGGGGAGCTCCTCAAGGGTCCCTGGTTTCCCATGGTGTAGGTAAGAGCTGCAGCATCAGCTGGCCTTCTGAATGGCAGAAGGTGAAGTAGTAGAGTCTGTTGTCTGTGACATGGATGAAGGGACGGGTCTGCTCTGGGCTTCAGTCCTGATTTTACTGGAGTGTTCCACAGTACTTCAGCACCTAGGACAGCTCCCTTGCCATTCAGACTAACATCTGGTGCTTCTTCAAGAATCTCCCTTCTGTCAGCAGCGTTAACGTACGCCACCGAAATCCTTGGATCACTTGACCTCATTTTGCATGACGTTAAGAACTCATTGCACTTCTGCCTTGAAATTAAGATCCCACAAGTCACAGTCAGATGATTTGCCTTTGCTTGAAAGAGGAAGAGCCCAGCATCAACCAGCTGTAGGGGCAGAGATTAAGTACTGGGAAGAACATTGTTAGTTAGATTTTAGATCAACACAAGGTTGGGAAATCCAGGAGAACATGAGAGATGGACAGCATTGTGCGTTTTAGAGCTGTGATGGGTCAACTGGGTGTTCCAGGGAATCCTGGAGCGCTTCCTGAACTTACCAACGTGGGCTTCCTCAACATGAAATTTGGAGATATCAAGAAATCTTCTCATAGGAACAGTGGACAGTGGTGGCTGTTGGGCAGTTTGTCTCCTCTGGGTTTTACTCCAGAAATTACCGAAGCTATCCAAGGTGGTGAATCCTATCCCTGAAATCAGTTCAGTACCTTGGACAGATCCTTTAAAGTTCAGATTAAAACCCAGAGTGGATTCACTGAGGCCAATAGCCTCCACTCCAAGGAACATCCTCACTATCCGTTCAGCGTGCTGTGGTCCTGGAGGTGTTCTAAGATGTACTCAGTTCACATCAGGGATGCTCAAGCTGTTTCTGGTCCATGTCATTCATTCATTCATTCATTCATTTTGCATGCTTTCATTCATCTATTGAGATGTGAATGGCTGTGTATATCTGTTTCATCTTCTTTCTCCAAATTTCCACCTACTCTAGTTTTGTATCAGTTGCTGCTTTCTCTTCTTGCATGGAAATGTCTGTATGTCCTTGCAATGTGTTTCTCACTTTTCAGAACGTTTTCTTTAATGGACACCTTTTGAAAGTCATTTCCTGCATGGATGGGCACACATTTGCATGCATTTTTCAAAAATAAATATGCTTATCCATAAGGTTAGTTATCATGCATGCTAGCAAAGGGAAAAAAGGGATGCTTTTATATGATAATGTCTGATGCTTCCTGCCAACAGTAGCGGCCTGAAAGATATGTGCATGCTTTTGTTAATAACAATCTCACAGGTCACAACTTGGGTAAATTCATGTTTTTATATTGGTTAATGCAAATCATTTTTCCATGACTGTTTAGCCATCCATCTCATCCCATTTCTGGATCACTTTGCATTTTCACACACATAAATACACATGCACACTCTCTAACACCACATTTTTAACATAAAACCTAACCTTTTAAATTATGTTAGTATGTTATTCTTTGGATACCTTAATATTTTTATTGCTCTCCTTTAGATTTATTGTATACTGGTGCTGGTTTTTTTTAGCCAGAAAAGCACAGAACTATCAATCATGGATCACAAACATATTTTCTGTGGAACACTTATTTTTATGGGTCATACCCTGAAATCTCCTTTGGACAACTGTGTAAATGCAGGGATGTGTGTGGATTTCAGAGACAATGGCAAGATGGAGCAAACAGGCTGGGGTTTTTCATGAGATGGTGCATCACCCCCCCACACACAGAATCATGGAGTGGGAAGGGGCTTGTAAGGCCATCCAGTCCAACCCTCTGCTCAAGGCAGGAACCCAAGTCAAAGCAGATCTGACAGAGGGTTGTCCCATTCTCTCTTGACGGCCTCCAGCGTTAACTTGTGTTAAATCCAGCATGTGTGGCATAAAAAATGCAAATATTTTTTAAAAGACTCCATAAGAACTTCTGGATATCTCAGTGGTCTAGATATCTGGCTGTGGAGCCAAAGGTTGGGAGTTCGATTCCCCCCTTGTGCCTCCTTGACCGGGGATCGACTTGATGATCCAAAGGGACCCTTCCAGATTTGCAATTGTGAGATATTGCAAGACTGAAAATATGGGGAAAGAAATGAAAAGTATGAGCACTTAATAAGGGAGATACTGAGCAAGTACCAAAGGAGGAGGATGACATCCCCCCCAGTAAATTACCCAATTCAAGACCTCTCCTTCAATGGCTGTGGTGCTAGAGGGTCTCTCCGATTGAGATCACCACACCATAACAGTGATTTGCTGTGTTTTTGAAAAAGCTGGGGTATGAAGTGAGGGGCTTTCAGCTTCACAATGTCAATGCCTGGGTTTTGCATTCTTAGAGTTTTCTTCTCTCCCCCTTTCAATTAAAAGGCTTAAACGCATTATTAGGACTGTGCACTTGTGTGTGTCTGCCGTTGAATGCCTGCACTCTTGTGTGGATGCTGAGTGGTTCCCATCAGGATACGAAGATCTATTTTTCTCCCTCTAGCCGCCTAGAGTGGTCCTCACCGACCAGCTAGGCGGGGTATAAATTAAATTAAATTAAATTAAATTAAATTAAATTAAATTAAATTAAATTTGAATGAATGAATGAATGAATGAATGAATGAATGAATGAATGAATGAATGAAATGTCTTCCCTTCCACAATTCATGACACTGTGAGTTGAAAAGAATTTGCAATAGGGATGGGATTGAGTTAGTGGAGAAAAAATTTAACTGATTGCCTTAGTCATTGGTTTGATGGTGCCTCTGCCACAGTTCATAGCAGTGGTCTCCTGCTTCCCTTCTTAGTTGACATTGTAATGATTTCTTTCAAATACAAGGCAGAGGGATGGGGTATATGCTAGATGCCCACTTTTTCCCCTGCAAAGAGCAGCCAAGCCAATAATTGATGGTGCTTCTGCCACCATTAATAGCAGTGGCCTCCTGTTTCCCTCCTTAGTTGACATTGTAATGGTTTCTTTCAAATACAAGGCAGAGCGATGGGGCATATGCTAGATGCCCACTTTTCCCCCTGCAAAGAGCAGCCAAGCCAATAATTAGTTAATAGCAATCCTTGACCCAAAACAGGGAAAATAATAGCCACCTTTTCTCGTGGTTAAGTGCCTCCACTGGAAGAAAACATTAGCATTTTCACTTCCCAAGGGTTGGAGGGACACCAAAAGCATACCCACTCTTCTGGCACCAAGGTAAGCTTGGATGGGACTACTCCTGAGTAATTTCCAACTTCTCTATTATAATCCTTTGCTGTCAATACAATACTGAATTATGGTTTTCAAGGTAGAGAATTCTCAGAAATGGTTTAGCGACCTGCTGGATAGCTTGGTGATTTAGGTTTCTGGCTGTTGAGCCAGAGGTTGGGAGTTCGATACCCCACAGTGCTTCCCTGAGAGGAGCTGGACTTGGTGATCCATAGGATCTTCCCTGACAGGAGCTGGACTTGGTGATCCATAGGATCCTCTCCAGCTCTGCAGTTCTAAGACTATATTCCCTTCTTCTGGGGCACCTTGGAATGTTGCAACGTGCCCAAGTCCATGCAGGTTGGTTCCACTGTGCAGAAGTTACAGGGGGAATTGAACTCCCAACCTCATCCAGGTAGCTAAACCACTGAGCTATCCAGCCATCTAACATCTCTAGACTAGGTATGTGGATTCAGGACAGCTTCAGCCCACCCAGTCCTGTGTAAGCTGAGCTGATGCTCTGCCATCTCGACTGGTTCAGATTGAACCCTACAGTGAAATGAAGGGGATCTGTCATCGCCATGGCCAATTCTGTTTCTCTGCTCCTGTTGTTACCCATCTTAACCCTTAGAAACAAAGCAGCTATGAAAAAGTGTTCAAATCCCATTGCTTGGAGCAGCATGTTGCAGCAGGAGTAGACCCATTTGAATCAATAGATCTTGAAGAGGAGTAGACCTGCTTAACCTGTACTGATTCAGTGTATCTACTCTGGCACAACTTGTGACAGTACATGGAGCAACAGGATTTCAGCCAAGATCTGCTTGGTGACTTGTGCATGTGTTAAATCGTGATTTGCCATGGGGAATCGCCATTAACCCCGTGTGCATTAATACCGCTTAACTTAGGCAGTTATTTTGCCCTTTCTGTTTGCTGCTGTTGTTACCGTTTTCCATTCGGTTCTTTGTCTGTAGTCTTCTTCTCCTTCTTTTGTTCCCCCCCCCCATCTCCTTCTCTAGTAAATTATATTAAAAAGAGGGCTAATTAATTACACTTGATGAATTTTATTCTACTTTATTGTTTGGTTTGCTTTTTCATTAATTTGGGCTTGGGCCATTTGCTCTTCATTTATTGTAATTAAAAGGGAAAACACTGTTTTTTAAACTGTAAGGAAAATAATCGCTCTTGGAACTGCTTGTGTTACGAAGTCTTTTTTTCCTTCCTTTTTATCTTTGTTCTAAGAGCTGGGTAGTCTACTGTAGGATATTTACTAACTGTAATTATCTATTTTTCTTTCTTCTTTTCTTTTCTTATCAGGAGTCCATTGGTGAACCTGTAAAAAACAAAAAACAAAAAATTAAAATTAAAACAAAATATGAATGGGTTCTGTATACCTACCATTTGTGTTTACCGATGGAAGATTCGCAAAGCAGCCAAATATATTTTTATATAATTAAAAAAAAGGGATTTGCCCCTAGAAGCTATTGAATTTTGGAGGACTGCATTATTTTTTTGAGGGGAAAAGGGAGGGGTGATGAATAAATAAGCAAGTAGAGACTGAGGAAAGAAGAGCGACGAAAGCCGAAGAGGGACACGGCTTCCGTTCGGGACGCGTGGACTGTGATTATTTTTTCGGAACCTGTGCCAATTATACCATTATGTGCCATGAATCGCCTGGGGAAAAAAAAACTTCTTATGAAGATAAAATTAAGTGGAATATATGTCAAGAATCTTTCTGACAGAAACGCTGGGGATATTTCTTCTAATAAAGTCAGTATTTCTGGTTACTATACATACAGATATGTGTTTCTGTGTATATCTATCTATCTGTCTGTCTATATAGATATATATACACATACACACACACACACACATATATACAAAAAATTATATATATAAACACACATACACTTTTTGTACTGTAGCAAATTTTTGGAAAACAAAACCTTAAATGTTCTTCTTTTTTTTTAAAGGAAACAAAATATGGGTGTTGTGAATTATACGTATGATTCCATTTAACACGCTTAGTATATGGACTTAAATAAATCAATGTTTTCTACTTCAAAGATTTAGTTTTCACAGACATAGAAACAAATACACCGAGTTTAGAATTTGTTTCTCGAAAGAGAACTGCTGAAAAAGATGCCTGGTGTTGAAGTTCTGAGCTTTCTTTTAAGGGTCCGTACTGATTTCGGCTTCTAGAAGATGATGTGGCGCTCGCTGGACCTGGTGGGAACATAAGACAGTGAGCAAGCAAGAGAGAATAGCCTTATTCAGAGGTTCAAAAATTTTGTGGGTCCAACCAGATACAGGGTGGCTTTGTCCCCAATATTGCATGTGTCACGTGACCTCCCACCTTAGCTAGTGTATAGGGCACAGCTTTCGGCTGAGTTCAGTGTCCCATGTATAGGACCATCCTTGTGGAGGCATCTATGTGATCTAAAATCTTGCCGTGTGCCCGTCAGTATGTGTGCCAGGTTAGACTATGGGTGAGTCTTGACATCAGTGAGTTTCAACTGGATTTGTAGATCAACTAGGATATATTCCTATTAGATCCAATGTGATTTGTGCCCCATCTGGTGTGATTTGTGCTCTGGGTTTGAAGCGATCTCTAAACTTGGAAAATTCCAAGGCATGGGAAAACTGGGACAGTTTCAAAAACATCCCGGTTTTAAACCGTTGCCCATGAAATCCGGAGACTTGACGAGCCAAAACCTACGGAATTTCAGACAGCTGCCTTTCCTGTTTGCTTTCTCCCAACAAAAACGCAATTTGTGCCCCGTTCACGTTTCATGTGTGCTTCAGATGGAACCAAACCTGTTCATCTTGCTGTGATCTGGGTCTCATCGAAATTGAGCTGATTCATATCCAAAATTCAACAAATTTACTGAGCTCAGCTCTACTGCTGGGTGTTCTCAGGACTGATTTCGGATCGAATTAAAATCAGAGAGACTTGCTCCTGCAAACGTTTGTTCTGTGCGATGTAGAACAACCTTGGAAGGAAGTTTGGTATGTAATGCTTAAAATCGGAGAGACTTGCTCCCGCAAACGCTTGTTCTGTGCGATGTAGAACCTTGGAAGGAAGTTTGGTATGTAATGCTGCAGCCATGTGCATAATGCAAGAGTGTGCAAATGCAGGCCACAGATTGTATGTGGCCAGCCCAATATCCTCCAACCTCTCTTGACCTCATAAAAACAATAATGTCCTAAATGACAACCCACCTCCCCAAAGCCAAAGGTGTCAAGTATGCCCTATATAATACTTATGAGAGTTCTTTGGGCTTCCACTTCCTGTTTCTTAATAAGGTTTTCTTTGCCCCCCCATACCTAAAATTTAGAGCAGTGGGTTCGCAACCATGGGTCCCAAAACATTCTTGATCTGCAGTTCCCAGAAGCCTTCACCACTAGCTCTGCTGGAAAGGGCTTCTGAGAGTTACAGTCCTAAACCATTGGGGAACCAAGATTGGGAACCCCTAATTTAGAGGAACAACCTTCAAAGGGCCCTTGAAGTTTATGAGGACATCATTTACAACTTCATGATTCAACATGTTCCGGGTTTGGAACCTCACTCCTGAGATAAGGCAATGGAATTGACCAACAAATCCATGGAGATTCTGATCATTCTCATGCTTCATTTTGTCAAGCTTCTGTCACATCCAGGTGTTCCATAAAAGATAAGTCCAAAGATGAAGGTCCCCAGATAATATAGGATTTGAAATATGATGTTCCAGATAAAGGTGTACCCAGCTGCAGAGAGAAGGTCTACCATAAGTGTCTCCATTGACCAAAACCAAACAAACATGAAACAATATATAGTTATTCTTTTTCTTGGTTGTTGTTGAGTCGGGTACGGGAATGTGGGATGGATCCAGAGGCTGATTTTCTGCTGATGTTTCACCAGTTTCTGTGGCTGACATCTTCAGAGTACTGGAGTAGGAACTCTGTCCATGTTCTGTGTTCCTACTCCAGTACTCTGAAGATGCCGGCCACAGAGACTGGCGAAATGTCAGGAAGAACAACCTTCAGAACACAGCCAAAGAGCCCGAAAAACCCACAACAACCATCAGATCCGGCCGTGAAAGCCTTTGAGAATTCATATTCTTTCTCTGTTTGAAAGCTGTCTGGAAACGTCAGCCAGCTCAAAACACAGTGGCCCAAGTTTTTCACAAGAAGCTGCCTCCCTGTTCCAGGCTTCCCACTTCTCCTTTATTTTTAACTGACAGTTTCCTTCCGAGATCCATTCAGCTGCTGCCTTGGGTACGGGAACCTGGGATGGATCCAGAGGCTGATTTTCTGCTCTCTCGGATCCTCCAAGGGCCGTTGGGATGACCGAAACACAAAGGCCACCCCTGCCTACGATGACGCTGGAAGTCCGTTTTGAGTTCGAAAAAAGTTGATAGCTGGGAAGTGATCCATGGAGCTTCTGCAGCTTATTTAAACAGTGTCTTTAGACAGCTAGAAATGTCATCTTTTTCTGGGCAATATTTTCGACGAGGACTTTCGGAAGCCCGGGAATTACAGAAACATCCAGGGTCACACTTTGTCCCTGGCTGTTCTAAATCCTCATATTCTTTCCCCATAGGCAACGACCTTCAAGAATAAGCTCCTTTGCGTGCAATCTCTTCCTTAAGTAAATTATTTTGGTTTCCCTCCCCTTCCTGCCTTCAAGGCACTAGGAAAAGTCAACTCTGTTTTTTTTCTGAAGTGGTTCACTTTTGCTTTGTTTTTCATTCCTGACGCAACCCTTTTGTTCCTGCTGGGTTTTGCACGCGGAGGTATTTTTTAAGAGGTTCTGTTGGTTGCATTGTTCATTTCACTATTTCAATGCTGCCTTGAGCAGGAAAGCAAAAGCAGGGGTATCTATTTCTGCCAACGAATGGATGAGCGGATGAGTAATGAAAGGAAAGTCAATTCCCATAACTGCGAAAGTGATGTATAACAGAGGATTTCTGCAGGTAGAGCCTGTAGGGACGAAGATGCTGTATTGACACCAGGGTGAATGAGGATCATTCTTAATCAATTGTGTTCTGATTCGGGGTGTAAAATATATTTGCCAGGTCCAAAACCTTTGTACAACGCTGCCAAATTCAGGCCTGTCAAAACTATCGGTGGACGAGAATGTATACTTGCCACCTCAAGAGCTGTTCTTTTCAAATGTACGTTGCAGTAAAATGAAGATTTTAAAGAAAAATGAGCACCAAATTGTGTGTATTGGGAAGGAAGGTTAAAAAAATTGCACATGGTTGTACTTTGGGGGTGGGTAGGGGTGAATTTCATCATGTTCATGGAAAGGGGTGACGGAACGTGGAAGAAATCTGGGTGCAATGAGAAATCCGGGCAAAATAGATTTCAAGAATTGGGTCCTATTTCGATTCAGACCATTGATCACTCTCATTAAGATTTTCACAACCTGGAATCCCTCAGATAGGTTAGTTCACACCTCTCAGGGTCTTCCAGCAAGCAAAGTCAGGTTGGCTGAGATAAATGGATGTTATGGTCCAAAACCATAGCAGGACACCAGGTTGCTGATCTGACACAAGAAAGAAAATCTGGCCATGATTGACAGCCGAGGTGTAGAATCATAGCATCATAGAATAATTGAGTTGGAAGGGGCCTCTGAGGCCATTGGGTCCAAACCCCCTTCTCAAGGTAGGGATCGAAATCAACACAGATCTGATGGATGGCTGTCCAGTTTTCCCTTGAGTGCCTCCAGCATTGCAGTGCTCCCCACCTTTCAAGGTCATTGGTTCCATTGTTGTACTACTCTAATAGTTAAGAAACTTTTCCTGCTATTCAGCCAAAATCTGGTTTCCTGTAGCTTGAACCCATTATTACACCTTCTGGACAACTGTCAGATACATTTTGATTTCAGTTCCTGCATTGAGCAGAGGGTTGGACTTGGTGGCCTTAGAGGGCCCTTCCAACTCGCTTATTCTATGATTCCATGATAGTAGATGCCTTACTTTTACGTAAGTCGGAGACAATTGTCAGTTCCTCCATGCACCACTAGGTTTATGAGACCATGGACATTACATTAGTTCTTCTGCTTTTTATGTCAATGGGATGCTTTTGAAGCCAGCCAGAGAGCCCTCTTCTTATACCATGCATTATAATTGATAGGAAAAGACAAATGAGATGGCTCCACTTTATGCATTTACTACAGTAGAATCCCGTTGCCCTTTAGATCCTGATCATGAATAATGGCATTTGTGAGAAAGCAATCTTCTTTGTGGTAAGTGCCTCCTAGGTTGCTGGTTAGTTAAAGGAGCTTTCCAAGGTACTGAAATTATAGCAGGTGTAGTGATCAACATCTTGTTGAGCTCCTGTACATTGAAACCTGGATATCATTGATGCAACAATAGAGTGAGACTTTTATTGAACCATTAAAAATCACACGAATTGCAAGCTTTCATGAGTAAAATCACACTTCTTCAAGCTGCACATCAACCCTTCATGGATAGTGCAGAAAGACTGCAGGCCAGAGTCTCAAAAATCTATGGCAAATGTCTGTGCTGAGTCTGCTTTGCATGAGGTGAGTTGAAACTAGATGAGAGGTGGGGTTTCAAGCATCCTCCATTATAATATGGTTTGAACTTTCTATCCCAAACAAAGGATTTGCTAATTACTCTGTGACTATCCCTCTCCCGCACCATCCCATTGCTTATTCCAGAAATATGAAGTTTCTAATGGGTTGGGGGATGGGGGAAGCAATACAGAGATACAGCAGCCTCTATTAGAAGGCTGGGGTTATAATTTAATGTACTGACTGGATTTCAGTAATGCCTTACACCCGATTAAATGGAGAGGTGTGTGTGAATTCTACCAGACGTTACTTTTCCTGTTCAGGTAAAAGGAACA